CATGTCAAATATAAATTACGGGACGCTAGGTTAACGTTATAAGTAAGTATAACAAATAACATACCAGTGCCTCCCGGCGTATGGAACGTACCGATCGCCAGCGTGATAAACGGGATTCCTGACGAAAAGTCGGGTAACGCTACGGTACCAGCCCATATACTCATGCTCACCATCCGTACGGTCGTGTGGAGGGGGTGGCGGAATCAAGTCATGCAGCTGGTCCCAAATATTGATCTGCGCTTCTAGCCATGCCACATATGTCTGGTCAACCCTGGAACGATCATCCCGCTGGTAATGTACATATGCCAAGCGGGCGGTGGCGGTACAAGCTGCAGGCGACCAAACCGGCGAAGTACTCTCTCAGTGGCATGATGCTCGACAATATCGAGACACATCAACGAGACGGAAGAGCTCCACATAATTCGGCTGGTGGAGCAATAATCGGGCAAACCAGCTGTTAGGTCATCGTTGTATGGCCTCCAAATGAACTATTAAGTAAAAATAGCAAACGTGAGTATACACAATACATATAAAGCCATGCCAAGTAAACTTAGGTATACATTTACCTGTGCGCCCTCCAGCAAATCCAACAAATCCCTGCAATAGGGGAGATTATGTTGAGCCTCGTACTCCCGTCCATATCCTCGCCTATCAACCCACCTCCTAGCTAAAGGGAGAAGCGGAGGTGGTGCATCCAGAGCTAAGGGTGGTAGAGGTGGCTGCAACTGCAGGAACCGCTCCCAGGCCCAAACCTAATATACAACGTGGACGTAAAATTTAAGGTATATTTTTACTAGGTATGTTATAATGAAGAGAGTATTAGACTATGTTTTCACCTGCAGCAGCGGCAAAAATCCTGCAATGTCTCGCTGGGTGCCCATGCTCGCCCGACACATCTGCTTGTACAAGTAACCGAGAACAGCAACACACCAGCTATAATGATGTAAATCATCTAGCCGCTCAAGATGATGAATAAATCTCAAGCTAACTAGGTTCCCCGAAGTGTTCGGAAACAAAACCTATCCAAACATAAGCAGCAACAACAACCTCGTGTACCGGTGAATATGAAGCTCCGGTGTATCATCTGTGATGTCAGCGTGCATTGCCTCCAAATGCTGTCGGACGGGCGTCAACTGTAGATGACTGGCCCCAATCAATGCAGTCTTATCCGGTGGCTGGAAATCGGTGAGCTGCTGCAGCATCTCCAGGTACTGCAAACCCGTATACTCTCTGATGGCATTCGGCAAAGCAACATGGTGTCCATCAACGGACAACCTATACAGGACCTCCACGTCCTGAAGCATGATAGTGGCCTCGCCAATGAACAAATGGAATGTGTGCGTCTCCGGTCGCCACCGCTCTATCAGGGCCGTGATCAACGACCAATCCAGCTGCAGCCGGCCGATCTCCCCAATCCTATAAAAACCCCTATCCTGGAGGCGTCTCACTATACAGGGACGGAGAGGGTGGGCCCTAAGAAAGTCCCACATATCGTCTACTCTCCTGGCGCGGAACGTCTGGGCTAGTAACTATCCCTCCCATATGTAGGACGACCTATGCTCGCCCTGTAGCAACATTAGCTCTAGCGTGGCAGGTCCGGGATGCAAAGGCGGAACCTCCATGTCGGCTACTGTAAATTGAACAATATTAATTACATTATTTTACTTTAATATGTTAGTTTTATTATTTTATATGTTTGTTGGTTACTCACCTATTTTTGACTATAATAAAATTAAATAATTAATTTTTATAATTATACAAGATTTAATTATTAAATATTCACATATGGGTTCCGGGCTCGATATTTGAGGCCCAGTATCATCAAGGTATCCTGAATTCTTGTGTTCATGATGAATATTTTTTTCCGATTTATCACTCAATAGGTCTGTTATTTTAAATGTTAGTTTATTATTTATATGTTAGTTTAATATTGTATATGTTAGTTTTATTATTTTATATGTTAGTTTTATTATTATATATTTTTGTTTATGACAAACTTATTTTTGACTATAATAAAATTAAATAATTAATTTTTATAACTATACAATATTTAATTATTAAATATTCATATAACAATACTTAGTTCGGAAAATATTGTTGTTTTCTCATGTTATTTTCTTACGATCGTTGACTAGAATTGGACAAAGTTTGTGTTTGAACTATCGGCTTTTTGACGTATTTTTGGGTATAAGAGATACTTAAATGATTAATTTCAATAACTACAAGGATACTACGCTAAATGGCACTATATTTTACTACGCTAAAGGGTACTACATTACAAATACAAGCACTACATTAGGCCACAAGATACCACTACATGGAACTAAACTAACAATTTATCTATTTTACTAGTCTTTTAGCAAATAAATAATCTAAATCGGATAACAACAACAAATTAATTTAATAAAAAATTAATCACGAAAATATATATACCACAGTAAAATGTAACTAATTAATATTTTTTTTAACAACTAATAACAATTTCTCTATTTTACTATTTTTTTAGCACACTAATACTATAGTTCGGATAAAAAACAATAAATTAGTTAAATCGCAAAACAATCACAAAATAATATAGAGCACATTAAAAACAACTAATATGCATTTTTTATACGAGTTTTAACAAAAACTAGGTCGGAATACCTCGATTTAAGATTTTTGAAAAGTGAAAGATTTGGTGATTTGGAGCCGAAACAAGCAACGCACTACGAGATAATGCCTTAGCTAGGATGTGGGACCGAGAATCTATACTTTTATGGGACCAGTGGGCTCCACTCAAGCTTTTTTCGTTGACAATGGGAGAGGGGGCTANTTTATTAAGATGCTATAGACGCTCTACTATAGCATGTTAATAAAAGATGCTATACCTTCCCGCTCTTTTCAGGTTCAACTATAGCACCTTTTAAAAGGACATTATATATATTTTGGTCATTATATCTTTTTTCCACACATTTTGGTTCTTTGAGTCCAAAAGAACCACATTTTGGTTCCGAATTTGCTAAGATCACAGGCTGAAGAAATTGTCAGCCTTTTGATTCCCCTTCAATTACCAATAGGGATTTTTTCATTCTTATACAATATTTGAAACTTATTTACTAAAATTGTCCTAACTTTGTATATTACCCGCCCTAAATAAGGTTTACTTACAAATTATATACATTCCACCCTAAAAGGCTCCCAATTCATTATTAGTGCTTAAATTAGGTGATTCTTTGCTTGGAAAAAGACATAACTAAAGGTAATAATGGTGTTAATCACGTTTGAGTATCTGATGGTGGCAATAGCAGCTCCCGTCATTGAAAAAGTGTAGGCCCAAAGTATACAATCCTAGATCATGGTGAGTTGTTGGAATAGCTTGAGTGATTGGAAAGATTGGCTTGAACATCAAGTGGGTTATGAGCCTCAGAACGATAAACTTTGGCTACAAAATGCCTGAACTAGTCACAAATTAAATTTGGTATTGAACTCTTTGAAGGTGATTGACTTTTCCATTGAATGGTTCTGTTGAAGCATTGTACTAATGTCCAAAGTTTGATGAAATGAGTTGGATGAAAATCCTCATCGACGATGAGCAATAAAGAATTTTTAGTAGTCATGTGTTTGACTCTCCACCATTGACAGCCATTAAAAAGGTTTGAAGCTTTGAATTCGAATTTGGATTTTCAAAAACTATTATTTGTTTGGATTGAGTGTTGTTGCAAACAATTGGGAATATTGTTTGGAGTTTGTATCTCAATTTTGAGGGTGTTTGGTGAAGACTAGACTTGATTTTGGCTAAATTTCAGATTGAAACTCGAAGAAGAAGAAGAAGAACACATAGCATACCATATATTTACGAAATTGTAGTAAAGTTGTAGTATAATTGTATGTAAATTGTATTCTGTTGTAGTTATATATATATTTTTTATTTGAATATTGTATGAAAGTTGAAAAATAGTTGTATAATGTATGAATCGTTGTATACAATTTATATTTAAGTTATCAATACTATCTTTTTACATAAAGTTGTTGATATGTATCAAAATTTGTCCAAAGTTTTACTAGGTTAATAACTATCATGCTGGGCTAGTAAAGTATTTTACTTCACTTGATTGGTTAACTTACCCAAATACACTAATCTATGACAAATTAACGAAACCTATTTAAATCAGCACTAAAATGGATACATCGTACTTACAATTAATATTATAGTCTGCAGTTCCAGATAAAACCCTAAAAATGGGTTAACAACGCAATTTAAGTCGAAAATAAATGTTTAAACAAAACAAATCATTTCTTGTATTTTTTTTTTCTTTCTTTTTTTGTATTGGGAGGGGTAAGTGCCTCATAGGGTTGAATATTGAAACAGATTTTTTAAACAAAAAATACTTTCTATGTTCTTTTTGTAAAAACTCTTAATGTGGATAAGTATAGTAGGTATTTATACTATTTGTGGATTTGGGCTGAAAGACCAAAGCTTACCTATAGGAAAAAAAATTCCTTTTGGAAACTCTTTTATTCATTAAAGAAAAAATTACGATAAGTTATCAAACATATACACAGGATTTAACCATATACTCATTAATCTAATTTATTTGTTAGTTACACAAGCGATTGAAAAGTAAATGTTATTACCAATTTGCCCCAAATTGTCCCAATAGCAATTCGAGTTAAATTCATAAAATTGATAAAAAATTATTTGCGACACCGCATATGCAAAGAATTATAATATGACTTTATAGAATCACAAACAACAGTATAAGATTATAAGTTAAATTGTAATCCTATCGTATTCTTTTGTTGTTGTAAATGTTGTCCGGAACATCTTCTGGATCTTTTTTATATCACATGGAGGAAGAGATCAAATTTGCACAAGATAATATGATTCTTGAAAGCTAGTAAAATATAAAGGCAAAAAGAATGTCATTTAAGAAACATTGGAACTAAGAATCATACTATCATATATCATATGAGTTGTGAAATAAATTTTCAAACAATAAAAAGGGTGGAAAGTTTAATGAACTCAAAACCTCAACGTTCTTACTTTTACTACTCCTAATACTAATAGAAAGAACAAGTAGAATCAGCTTCGTCGATTCTAAGTTTTTTGTTAATTTTGAAGAGACCCTCTCATTGGACAAGCAGATAAGGGGAGACACACTAGTGGAAAAGACTAGCGGGCGCCTCGTGGGTGCAAAAAGCCAAAAGAAAAAATGGTATCAGTTTCCTCTATTCAACCCCGCTTCATCTCTACCTTGATTGGAGACTGCCGCTTCATTCAACCTTCACACTCACTCCATAGACTCTTCCGTTGCAACTCAGGTTCTTTCTTTCTTTCTTTCTTTCTTTATTGCTTTTGTATTTACATATATTTTTTTGCTTTCTGTTTTCAACGATTTAATGATGATATTCTCATAGTGCTTGGGACAATAAAGTTCCCCTTTTCTTGTTTTACTGCTTTTTTTCATCTCAAGTTTTTGTATTTAATTCTACTTTGTGCTCATAGTGATTGGAACAAAGAAGAACACCCCTCCTCTTTTAATTTGTAATTTGTTTTACTGCTTTATTTCATCTCAAGTTTTGTGCTTTCTGGTCTCAAGATTTAAGGATGGTATTCATAATTGTGATTGGAACAACAAAGTTTAAACTTTTAAGGAACTAGCAAAGGGAAATGTTTCTTGAACTATAAGGGTCGTTTGGTTTGAAGACGAGTTATGCTGGCATTAGTTATGCTGAGATTGGTTATACTGGTATTAGTTATGGTAGGATCAGTTATTTTGGTATTATTTCATATTGACTGTTTGGTATATTGTATTAATTCTGGAATTTTTAATTTTACTGCTTTATCCTAGGATAACTTAGTCCCTCTACTATTTTTAATCCTGGCATAACTTATCCCAGGATTAGTAACCAAATAAGGGATAAGGTGGTACTAAATTTTTATCCAGGATTATTTTTGCCTATCCGTCATACCAAACGACAGAACTCATTTTAACCGGCTTAATATTTATGGTTACTCAGGTAATAAACATGTGTCCATGCAATACTCAAGAAGATTTTCCGGATTAACGGATTTGTTATTCAACAGAAGGTATGTTACTTCATCTTCAAGTTACACAAGCATTCTTGTTTTCAGCATGTCGATTACCATGACCCTTTTCTT